AAAAAAAAAATTACATAGAGATGAGATTTTTATTTTATAATACAGGGGAACCCCGTTAATCCAGTCACCAACAGGCCATAAAAATCTGGCCATATTAATGGGGTGGTCGTATTAAAAGGGTTCTTTAAACGACCGGCTAAGTGTTTTTTCAGGCCAGAATAAAGTAGCCATAATAACGAGGTGGCCGTAATAACGAGGTGGCTGTATTAACAGGGTGGTCGTAAGGTGGGGTTCCACTGTATTTATTTCCCTCATTAAATACCTTCATTAACTATAGACCTTAGTTATTTACTAACAATGATATTATTATGGGCCCCAATTTTAATTCAGTAATGAAAGAGCGCAAAGTTCAGTCTATGTTCTACAGCCAAATGTCACATCAGATTAGTTGTTACAAGCGTGAATTCCTCCATAGCATGGAGCAACAAGAAGTTCAACTTCTCATCTACCAGGATTAGAGTGAGTTTGTGAGTGAGTTTGACATGGGGTTGTTCTGCGACAGAGAAAAGACAGTAGCTAGCAAAGAGCCTGTGAGGTTGCTCCTGGACCGGCAATTACCACTACCCTTGTACAGCAATCTCTTGGATGGAGAGACAGCCTTTGAGAGAAAGTGACTTGCCCAAGAATACCACTCAAGGACTGCACAGCCAGGACTTGAACCTTGGCTCTGTTGAACTTCAGTGTGACATTAGCCCACCATGACATCCTTAGGGAGTTTGGCTTTGCGGTTAATCAATGAACACCCATGACCATTTCTTATGCAAGGCAACCTGGCTGCAATCCTGGCCAAAATTTCTTGAAACACTTCACCCTGCACCCCTTACAATTTTGTTACCATGGATTGATTTCAACAATTTAGCAGATTGAATAAAACTGGAAAGGAGTGCATTCTGCAAGGTGCCCAAAATAAGAAGTGTTTCAAAGTTTATGGTTCATGACCAGAATTGTAATTTAGTTGATCTTCTATTGCAGCCACCTCCACCATTAGTCAAAACTGTGTGGGAAGAGAGACCATCGTCCCAGCAAGGTAACAAATCAGGTCGGTCACTTGGAAGTGCGATGACTAAAGTTGGAGGGACACCAAAAAGGAATAAGACTAAATCACCAGCAAGGCCACGTCTCCAAAATGTTGATGTGTCTGCAACCTGGACAAGTCCAGACTCAGGACTAGAGGTAGCTACACTTTAGTCTGCTATTTTACTTAGAACTCATGACTTGGGCAGATCTAGGGGTGCAGGGGCATCAATCGAAGCCCCTAAATTAAAAAAAGTGAGACATTACAACACGCTGACTTGGCCTCAGAATGCTGGAAATCCCATTCCCAAGGACCTCAATTTTCAAACTTTTATGGGGGAGAATGCCATTGGACCACCTTACAGGTGAACACCTCCCCCCCAGCATGATGAATGAAAAGGACTGAAGTGCTCCCACAGCACACAATGTGTGCCTACCATTGGCACTTCAGTTCTGACATAACAATATTGCCTGACAGAAACATTTTGATTCATTCCTCTATGAAGTTGCACTCTGTCAGACGTATGAAGCACTATAATTAGAACTGCAAAAATGAACAATAAAATAAATGTGGCATGTGGCTCCTCTTCATTTGAAGGGTTAACTTTTGTGGAGGGAGGAAAACCAAAGAAAATGGAGAAAAAGCCTTGGAGAAAGGCGAGAACCCACAACAAACTCAACCCACATATGGCACCAGGTCGGAATTGAAGCTGGGCCACATCGGTGGGAGATGAGCTTGTGCTCACACCACTGCGCCATCCTTGCTCCCCAAAATTTCAGAAACTTCATTTCAGAAAAAAAAAAAAACTACCAATAACAGTTTACTGTTACTTACAGTCCGTGAACTTACATTACTTACATGCTTTTCAGTAATGCAATTTTCCTATATTTACATTACATTGGAAAGAATCATGAAGCTTCCAACCTAAAGGCTAATGTCAAAATTATTGATCACTGCAAGTAATTTATCACAGCTGACTTCTTCCCCCTACAGACTGAACTGCCTGAAGGGCTCAATCAAACCAGACTCAAGTCAATCCTTCAAGGCTATGGCGAGTATCCTGCTAAATACAGGTACAGTTGAACTTCTCCTTACTGGCAACTCGAGGCCTGGGTTGTTCAAAAGGTGGATAGCGTTATCCAGCCTTTGAACAACTGGGGCAAGATCACTAACAGCAGTCCCAGAGAAACCTGGATTCATTAAAGCGTTGCCTTCACAATATGGACACCTCTGCATTACAGACAGCAGGGCTGTAGTCAGAAAAAGATTATGAGTGAGGCAATGTATGTGCTTAAATTCTCTTCCAAGGTATTTAAGGGGTTTACGATGACTACATTTAAACACCACACTGGGATCACACCAAAAAAGGACTGAGGCCAGTGCAATTAAAATTTTAGAGCTACTTGTCTGAAGGGCAAATTGGAATTCAAGTTTTTTTGAGCCCTGCACTTAGTCTCAAAGAAACCCGGATTCATATAATGTTTACCTTCCTAATACAGACACCTCTGTTTTATAATCCGGTTCATGTACAGTAAGGACACTTAGCCCTGCTGCTTTGTTGTCCATATTGATTGAAGATAATTAAGGAAGTTAACATATGAAAATCAGGCTAAAATGGTTCCTTAGCAGGCCCTCTACCTCACAGGCTCTTTGCTAGCTACTGTCTTTTCTCTGTCGCAGAACAACCCCATGCCAGACTCACCAGTCCAAACCCTCCCCTCCCTTCCTCCATGCCCTCACTTGCCGTCCTTTCTCTTCCTCTTCATCCTCAGCTAGACCTCCTTTTCACAAGCCTCACACTCTAATACATGTACTCCTGTAGTGAATTATATAGAGGTTCTTGCCCTTTGTTTTTCTCAGAATGTTTATTTGGCGGTCTCTTCTCAAACTTCCTGAGAATCATGCAGCTTACAGTAGCTTGGTGGATAAAGGAACTCACAATGCTTTTGCAAGGCTTCATGAAGAATATCCAATTAAAAGTAGAAAACTCCTGAGAGTTCTCCAAAGGTTAGTGATTGGCTCCAATTGAAGAGTTGCATGGAAAAACAGCCTAAGTGACATCTCATAGACTGCAAGATTCTCCTAGCAAATTGGTTTCCACTTCTTTCTACAAAAAGGAACATTTGGCGTGAGATCAAGAGTCACTTGGGGCTTTCTTAGATGCACCCCTTCAGTTTATGGTAGACATGTTTTGTGTGTTCTAGGATTCTTGCAAAACGTATAACGGAAAAAAGAGATTTTTTTCAAACTATCTGCGGTTAAAATATCATTTTGTGCGTTTTGGTATTTTCCCTTGTTCCGATGTAAGGTAATTAACAATTATTCTACGAGCATGCTTTGGATGTGAATTGATTATAATCACCTCATATCCAACAAGCACAAGTGGGATAATCATTTTATTAAAGACGCCCCCAAATTAAAATATAGAAAACTAAAATAAACAAAAATAAAAACGACCTCAAAAATTACGCATATGATGATGGCTAAGCCAAAGAAAACTCTTGAATTGCATTGTCCAACGATCCAGTTTTTAATAATATATGATAAATAAATGTACTTGAAACAAAGGAAAGTACAAAATTGTACCAAAGCTAATATTGAACCACGACATATACACCACCAACTTTAACTTTTGGGCGGGCAAACGTTATCTGTCATTTTATCAAACTTTGAAGTTTGAACACCAGTCGTGCAACGGTTTCATCCCCAGCCATCCCTCTTTGGTTGGAGCACGCTGTGTGTAGAGTTATTGACCTATTTCAATCAAACCAGGCCCCCTAACAATCGGGATGCACCACATCACAGGCGACGAGCAAGGACGACCCTTACGATATTTTTTATTGCTAACCGTAACCCTTAAACTAGCCCTATCCTAACCTAATTGTCTGCCTAACTCTGAGCTAACCCTAAACAAAACTGGAACGTAACTACTAAATCCCAACTCCACGCCCGTAAGTTAGTCTCTCCACCTAGAGGTAAAACACCATAATTCTTGTCACCAACGGAAGACAACAGAACCTGGGGACAAGACAGATCGTGTAGCGTTTGATAATTATTTCCACGCGGCCAAGTAATATCCTCTATAGAGCATTTTTTCGTCACGTATTCATGCTTAAATAAAACTGACAGTATTTGTTTTGTTTAGCATTGGCAGTGCAGGAGAGATTGTTAATGACTTCGTATTGAATTCATTGTAGAACGCTATCAGCCTTAGCCCACTGGTCAGCCATATTTGGTGAAGTAGATTACCTGGCTCTGCTGTCCTTCCCATTTGTTAAACTGTTCCAGAACAATCAACTAATCTGTTTTGAGATGATAGCAACAATCCTGAGTAAGTCATTTGTTTATAGACAGACGGTTGTTCAAAGCCAGATTTCAGCACGAGTAATTAATAATTGGTCTTAACTTGGACTTAACATGTGGAACTGTTTTTATTTTTTGTTGTTTTTGTCTTTTTAACTTTGTACAGTATCAATAAATAGTGAAAATAATTTGATATACCGGGAACAAATACCTCGTTTAATTTTAATCTTAGATGTATTAAGCTTTAATTAGCCTTCAAACAACCAGACCTGATCTTTACAACCCTGATTTGTACTCTTTTCGTGCCTACAGTGGTACAACTCATAGTCAAACTGCTGTAATAATTTGAACGCAGTCGCTTCTGGCCAGTAACGGCAAACGTAAATAATTCTTTGAACCAATCAGAGGTCAAAGCAAGCAGAAACGTGTAAGCGCGGGAAAACGCACTGTTTAGTAAAAAA